TTTCTACACTCCAGAGAGAAGCTAACTGAGTTGTGGGCATGCCATGCCAATAAATTGAATAGCTGTTAGCTTGTATTTTTATCAACATTGGTCAAAGACTTGAAGAATCATTAATTTTCGAATTCTAGTCGAATTATGAACCAAAACGTCAGTTAGTCAACATCAGTTTGTACCAGATGTGCTTGACGTATTGCTTTCAAAACATAATTTTAGACTTTATTGCTTGTTCAAAAACAATATTAACTACTCAGCTGGATCTATGGCGACGAACGATATCTCTTGTCATGTACAACACAAGCTCGAGAGTCTAACTATTAATTTGTGACGACTATATTTTCAGAAATAGATTTTACACACCGTAGTGGAATACAGCAAAAGACATATCAGTATCTTTCGAAAGAAGAGAACAGCCGGGTCTATAAGTATTCGCCAAGGTGCAGGAAAAGTTGATTTTGTTTAATTAAGGATTGATTGATTGCCATATTGATGTAACCATTTGAGTTCTTCTCGAAGTTTTATTTTTCCGTGCCATGGATTATTGCTTAACAAGTGTGCTTCACCTGGAAATATTAATAATTTGTGTGTAACATTGAGGCTAAATAGAGCACGCTCCATTATGATACTTTGACTAGTAGGAACACGGATATCGTTTTTTCCTGTTACCATGTGAGTTGGTGTACGAATTTTATTCATTCGGTAGATTGCTGATTCGGCATGATATTTGTCTGGCACCTGCCAGGGTCTGCCACCAAGAAGATAATCACCATATATTGACAGATCAGTCGTTCCCCAGTTTGACACCAGTTCAATTCCTCCCGCACCTGTTAATGCAACATTAAAACGGATTGTTTGTGTAATTATCCAATTCGTCAAAAATCCACCGTAGCTATAGCCACCGACTCCAAGTTTCCTTCCATCAGCAATACCATCTCGAACTAAACTGTCAACACCATACAAGATATCTGAACCCGGTAATGAAACCATATTGTCTGAAATTTCACTTAAGAATAAATCACCATAACCTGTTGATCCTCGATAATTTGGTTGTAAAACTAGCCAGTCCTCTGTTGCTATCATTCGACTACAATCATACCAGCCGGCTAGAAAATTGTTTACGTCTGCCGCAAACGGACCACCATGAATCAACACAAATAGTGGAAGATTTTTTTGTTCGAATTTACCTGGTGGATAATGTAAAATTCCTTCAATACGTCTTCCATCATTATTATTAACCCACTGATAAACTTTTTGTTTAGGTAATTGCCGTTGCTTAAATAATTTATTTTCTTCTGTAATTGCCCGTGCATATTGAAGTTGATTGATATTATCAATAACATAAACTTCTTTTGGTTCATCAAACGACGAATGAACAAAAGCAATAGACGAACTATTCGATGATGTAACAACGTTTTCATAACTTCCGTTGCATCCATTCTGTTCTGTTAACAAATC